TTTGGTGGATTTCAAGAGAAACCGTACAGGGGGGTTCAACGGTTTTGGCTTCAATTCACCAAAATTTGAAGCTAACTTCGTTTGTCACCACCACCAATAGTCTTGCCTCAATGTCAGGAACAAAGCCCAAGCAATGTTTGAAGTGTCGGAGTTTGTTTTGAGGTCGAATCGAGAACACCTATTTCTAGGATTTCTGGCTGTCCAAGGCTGATTTCAAGTGTTTCCCGGACGAATTGCACTTCAGCCCAGGTATGACTTGGTAACTTTTAGAGTTAGTGGAAAAATTGGGTTTCCGTTTATCAAAAACTGCCACCTATGGCGGCGCGTGGCCAGTGGGCCGACGCTGCCTTTTCATGCAGATTTTGATATTTTAAATTCGTAATTGGTACCCATTTGAGGTTATTCAATTGTGAAAGTAAATGTTGAATATTTTCATTTCTAGATTATTTTCGGAAATGGATAAAAGAATGAATGGTGAACTAGAAAATGCTTGATCCTGTATCAAGGGTACGTAGGTAGTTTAACAGGGGTTAGATGTAGCCTTAAATAATTAAGATTAATCTTTTGTTGGGAGTTTGATTGAAGAAGTGAAATTTTAGTGAATTATTTGAAAATCTAATCTTATGTTTTTGGTAAGTAAATTCTGTTTATAGATTTGTGAGTGTTTAAGAAATTTAAATAAAGAATTTTGATTAATAATAGTTAGTTAAACAAGAGTTTAATTTTGGCCTATCACCGAAATTTGTATCCGAAATAAAATTTTCGGGTTGGGGCGTTATAGGGATATTTGTGGACGGTTCACCCTCAACATGGACCATGTAGATATTTTATGGTTTTGGTTGACGCTTCCACACGTTGGTCACACGTATGCTTGTTGTCCACAAGGAACACTACATTCTTCAAACTATTGGCTTAAGTTACCAAGCTCAAGGCTCACCACCCTGATTATCCAATCAATCTATTCGATTGGATAATGTTGGAGAATTCACATCTAAAACTTTTGATGACTATTGCATGTCAGTTGGGGTTGAAGTTGAACATCTAGTACCCCATGTTCACACCCAAAACGGCCTAGCAGAGGCATTCATTAAGCGTTACAAATGATTGCTCGATCATTGGTCATACTTACCAAGTTCCCGATCGCCGTTTAGGGCCATGTAATATTGCACGCATGCATGTTGGTCTGCTTGAGACCTATTGTGACCCAACCATATAGCGTCATTCAGTTGGTTACCGAATACGAACCCGACATATTGCATCTACGCATTTTTGGTTGTGCAGTCTATGTGCCAATTTCTCCGCCCTTACGTACAAAAATGAAGCCTCAGTGAAGGATGAGAATCTATGTCGGATATGATTCTCCTTCAATCATTCGTTGCTTAGAACCTTTGACAGACGATCATTTTAGCCGATCCATGTATATTAGCAGTTAGCCAATCATCTGCCCTTACACAAAAGCATGGCAAACCACTTAGTTCAAATGATTCACACCCCTGGAAGAGAAAATCCATTGCATAGGCTCCTGTTAAGCCTACCATGAGTTCGATTGTCACCTACTCATTCTATCCAACTCATGAGGAAATTCTAGATTACAGAAACGTCCTTGAAGAGATGAATCCACATCCCAAGAATCTTGAGATTTCGGTCCATTATGCTAGCTTAGATGATGTTTGGTGTAGAAATAAGATTATCATCGATGATGCATTAGCATATGCAGTAGCTACTGAGATCATGTTGAGCGATGACATTGAACCCTGTTCCGTTGATGAATGTTGACGTAGAACTAATTGGTCAAACTGGAAACAAGCAATCCATGTCGATCTTGATTCGCTTGCGAAACGTAAGATGTTTGGACTTGTAGCTCCTACTCCTCCACATGTGAAGCCCGTTGGCTACACATGGGTTTGCGTTCGGAAGCGTAAAGAGAATAACGAAATTGTGTGTTACAAAGCTCGTCTTGTTGCGCAAGGCTTCTCACAACGCCTCGGGATTGACCATGACAAAACTTATTCACCTATTATAGATGTGATTACTTTTCGCTACCTTATCAGTTTGGTAGTTTCTAAAAAATTGAAGACATAGTAACTGCATATCTCTTTGGGATCTTGATACGAAAATCTATATGAAAGTTCCTAAATGACTTACATTGGCTAGATCAAATATTTTCAAACCCTGGAACACACTCTCAATTCGGTTGAGGCGTTCACTCTACGGTTTGAAGCAATCCGGAAGAATGTGGTATAACCGTTTGAGTGAGTATTTGACTAGTCAGAGGTATGTGAACAACGAACTAAGCCCTTGTGTGTTCATTAAGAAGTCACATTCCGGTTTTGCGATTGTTGCAGTTTATGTCGACGATATGAACCTCATTGGAACTCCTGAAGAGAACATAAGCGCACCTTAAGTCAGAATTTGAGATGAAAGATCTAAGAAAGACTCGATACTGTGTCGGTCTTGAGATAGAGCACCATTCGGATGGAATCTTAGTACATCAATCGAACTAAACCCAGAAGGTGTTGCGCCGCTTTAGTGAGGATAAAGCAAAGCCTTTGAGTACTCCTATGGTCGTTCGATCGTTAGATGTAAAATGAGATCCCTTCCGTCCGAATGAGGATGATGAAGAGATTTTGGAGCTTGAAGTTCCTTATCTAAATGTGATAGATGCTTTATTGTACTTAACTCAATGCACTAGACCCGACATCTCATTCACTGTTAATATTTTGGCAAGATACAGTAATGCACCAACACGCAGACAATGGACTGGTGTTAAAGACATCTTCTGTTACCTTAAGGGTACTACGAATTTGGGTTTGTTTTATCCCTAAGGATCCTCGAGTGATGCCGCACCCCCTTATCTCGAATAGATTCTTGCCTTGTTGGTTATGCTAACGCAGGATACTTATCTGATTCGCACAATGCACGTTCTCAAACGGGTTATGTCTTTACCTTTAAAGGCACCATAATCTCTTGGAGGTCAACTAAACATACCTTAGTTGCCACTTTGTCTAACCATACTGATATTCTCACCTTACACGAAGCAACTTGGGAATACTTCTGGTTGAGAACAGTTGTGGGCCATATTCGAAGCTCCTGTGATCTTTGACCCGTTGTTGGCGTCCCGATGACGATCTATGAAAACAACGCAGCATGCATCAAACAGCTTAAGAAGGGTTACATCAAAGGAGACAACACCAAGCACATTGCGCCGAAGTTCTTTTTCTCACATCAACAGCAAGAGCATCAGAAGATTGAAGTCATGCAAATTCGTTCACAAGATAATCTGGCCGACCTCTTCACCAAATCACTATCGAATGCAACATTTTAGAAGCTTGTTCAAGGAATAGGTATGCATAAACTTTCTGAGTTGTAACGTTGTTAGTTCTCTTTGGAATTATGTTAAACTCAGGGGAGTATCCTGAAGTACTTGCTTGATCTTAATGTGCTATTTTCCCTATGATTAGGAGCATTTTTCCCTTTGTGTTTTTGTTACCTAATGAGGTTTTGACAAAGCACCCACCTTGAGTTGATCATATCCCCGATGACATCCCATAGACGTTTCATTTAATTTTGCATTTCTCACGCATTTTTCCTTAGACTATGGATTTTGTCCCTACTCAGGTTTTTGCCATAGCCATTGGTTTTTTGTGAGACTTTGTTTCATATGCAAGTTCCTACCTTATTTGAGACTAACGTGTTCCCATAATCAGTGTCGACGAGTCGACTTCCTCAACTCTACATGATGCCAAATCTACTTGAGTATTTACACACTCAAGGGGGAGTGTTATAAACTTTGTATTTAAGTATGATTGTGTAAATCCTAGATTAGATTTGATTCTAGTTATTCTTCCCTATTAGGACTTGTATTCCTTGGATGAGAAAGATTATTCCCTGCCTTATTACTATAAATAAAGGTACTGTGTAGGAGGAATAACACATCCTCTACACAACACTATAAACACATATCTCTCCACTTTCTCTCTCTCTGTCGTGCCCTCTCTCTCCCTTGTCAGTTAAATATAGGCCACAACATTAACTGGTTAGTTGTTGGTATTGTTGAGACCATGCTCCTTAGTTGGCAATAAGTATGGGGCAGTTTGTGTTTACATGTCCATGTTCGTGTCAATACGAATTTGATACAAACACAGCTACGATCAATTTAAACATGACACAATTATTTGTTGAGTCATTTTATTTTCAAACTCGAAATAACAAAATTTATGAATGTGCTACACGATAATGACACGATTCACTCGTTTAATGTTCAATAGTACAAGATTACCTATAAAGTATATTGTTTACATCAAATAAAAGGTTAAACTTGAAATTTCACCTTCAATTTTATTGAGTTATTTTGTGTTACATGGGTTAAATGAATCATACAGTGATTAATGGGTAACACAATTACGTATCAAAATGTGTTATTTTCATATTAAGTTGATTGACCCGCTACACGAACTGTTTATTAGCAATATTAAACAGTTTGACATGCTTGTTATATGAACGTGATTATGACAAACCTAAATTCATTTATTTCGTCTTATTTTCGATTTGGCTTGCCCGTCATGTTCGAAATTGTCATCCTAACTAATAGGCACAAAAATAAGTTTAAGATTAAATTACATGCATGAATATTTTGATATTATAATACAAGAAAAAAAGAGCCTTTTTATTATTATTTTGAGGATAAATACTCCATCTTTATCCATATTTTACAGCAACTCTGAAGTTGGTGTACACTAAATAAAGAAAAAATGAACCTCGATCACATGAACTAGCTCCACATCTTGTGCAATTGATCAAGGCTCCCAAGGCCGGCGTAGAGTCAATTACTTGAGGTCGTCTAAGTTTGCAACTCATTCTACCGTCCTCCCACCAACCCATCTTCACTCAAAAGCCAAGCCAGATTCGAACCTGGTTCCGAGGAGTAGGGTTTCTAATAGATTTTGATAGTAAAAAATGAGGAGAAAGCCCAACCCACTTAGGTTACAGGCCTGGGCCATTTTATATTTGCTCACCCTCTCCATTTCCAGTTCTTTGGTTTCATTCTTTCTTCTGGTTTTGAAAAACAGAAAAGACCTAAACCCACTCAGGCACTCATTTGCACGACGGCTTCAAAGTCCGAACCTCACTCCTCAGCCCTCTCAGGTACCTTCTACTATATCCGCCATTGTTTTTGTTTAATCTGCCTCAGATTTTGAATAATATTGCTCACTCTGTAAGTCTGTGTGGGTCAGTGAATTGAATCCAAAATCTGAATTGGGTCAGTGAGAAAGCTTGAAATCTCATATATTTCTGAAAATTTCCATCTGAAATAAAAAAAAACTTGGACTGGGTCCAGGCTAAAAATTTGAAAGTTATCGGTAATTGAATCTGCCGTTCGTAGTTCCGTGGATCTGAATCAAATTTGTAGTCTTGCTGCGCTTCCGGGAATGATTGGAAGGTGTTTGAGGATTTTTCTGTTTGGGTGATATTGTTGTTTGCTAAACTGAAATGTCTTGTATGCAACAACAACAACAACAACAACAACAACAAAGCCTTTTCCCACTAAGTGGGGTCGGCTATATGAATCCTAGAACGCCATTGCGCTCGGTTTTGTGTCATGTCCTCCGTTAGATCCAAGTACTCTAAGTCTATTCTTAGAGTCTCTTCCAAAGTTTTCCTAGGTCTTACTCTACCCCTTCGGCCCTGAACCTCTGTCCCGTAGTCACATCTTCGAACCGGAGCGTCAGTCGGCCTTCTTTGCACATGTCCAAATCACCGGAGCCGATTTTCTCTCATCTTTCCTACAATTTCGGCTATTCCTACTTTACCTCGGATATCCTCATTCCCAATCTTATCCATTCTCGTGTGCCCACACATCCCACGAAGCATCCTCATCTCCGCTACACCCATTTTGTGTACGTGTTGATGCTTCACCGCCCAACATTCTGTGCCATACAACATTGCTGGCCTTATTGCCGTCCTATAAAATTTTCCCTTGAGCTTCAGTGGCCTACGACGGTCACACAACACGCCGGATGCACTCTTACACTTCATCCATCCAGCTCGTATTCCATGGTTGAGATCTCCATCTAATTCTCCGTTCTCTTGCAAGATAGATCATAGGTAGCGAAAACGGTCGCTTTTTGTGATCTTCGCTAGATTGCTCCGGTCATTAGTGTGGATAAGTATATAAATGGATAGAGATACGAAAGCAAACACAAGATGTACGTGGTTCACCCAGATTGGCTACGTCCACGGAATAGAAGAGTTCTCATTAATTGTGAAGGGTTTACACAAGTACATAGGTTCAAGCTCTCCTTTAGTGAGTACAAGTGAATGATTTAGTACAAATGACATTAGGAAATATTGTGGGAGAATGATCTCGTAATCACGAAACTTCTAAGTATCGGAGTGTGGTGTCGTCTTGACTTGCCTTATCTGTCTCATAGGTAGATGTGGCATCTTCTCTGGAAGTACTCTTCCTCCATCCAGGGGTGGTATCTTCAACTGGTGGAGATGCACAAGGTAATGTATCAATTTCACTTGAAGCTTACTTGTAGTTTCAAGCTTGGTCAAGCGCGATACAAACCATGTAGTAAGAGTCCCCCAAGTCGCCGAGCTAGGGGGTCTGCTGAAAGAGGTGACAGACAAGGTAAGCAATCAGAGCTCCGACTGATTGTTCACCTTCTCCCCATCTTGCAGCAGCATGAAGGATAAAGAGAAGAAAAATGAGAAGAGATGATATGAGATACTTTTGCTTTTGAAGAAGTAACTTTCCACAGGCTTATTCTTGAACTGAGCTGGAGGGTTTTCTGGTTTCCTCCAGAGTATAAGGCCGACTGAAGAATTTGAGGGTCAAAACAAGTCCATCAAATCTAGAGTACGTTTCACCCTGCTGATATGGGATACTTTTGCTTTTGACAGAGTAATGGATGTATCGGCACGTGTGCTGTTACGCTTGTCTCCACATGCTTCCTTGTATTCTTCGCACTTGCCCTATCTGTTCCTCAAGCAAATGCGAAATCTTCCCTGGAAACATAAGATGTTGAAGATGAGTACTCGAGAGCAATGCCAGGTAAGTAATCAGGTAAGGGGTTCCAGGCAGTCAGTTCCTAGCTGGAAGCTTGATTCCAAGTGCTGACTGATTGCTCTCTTTCTCCTTGTCTTGCAGGTAAAAACAAGGCCAAAGGAAAAGACAGGGAAAAAGCATGATATGGGATACTCTTGCTTTTAACCCTGATGATATGAGATATTCTTGCTCTAGTATAGCTTGTTTGCAGAGGTATTATCGGGGGGAAAGAAAGCTGAATATTTCGAAAGGCTTCGTTGGGAGTGCCCTCTCAGATATGATGAAGGGTTGAGCATTTTTGCAGGTTTGCCTGTCCGTTGGGGATGGAGGTCGACATATATAGGAGTCTCCCTAACAACAAGTAGTAATGCTATTCCTTTACCCTGCTTGGTCATAGCACGGTAGTGGGAGCTGCCAGTTTCACATGTTTTAACTCTGTCAGAGCACTTTGAAAAAGTGGTCTGTGGTATCTGGCTCTCGAGATTCGGAGAACGATGCCTCTTCGATTTTTGAGAAAGCAATCATGCTGGGGGTTTGGCTCTCGAGATTCGGAGAGCAGTGTCTCTTCGATTTTTGAGGAAGTAATCATGTTGGGAGTCTGGCTCTCGAGATTCGGAGGGCGGTGCCTCTTCGATTTTGGAGCAAGCAATCCTGTTGGGAGTGTTGTCTCGAATGTGAGTAAAGGTTGGGCATGTTTGCTAGTCTACCTTGCCACGAAGCACAGAGGTTGACACACAGGGACTTTCCTATTATCCAGCAGTGGTACTGTTCCTTTACCCTTGTGGGTAATAATATGGTAGCTAGACCTTCAAAATTTATGTGTCTAAACTTTGTTAGTGCTGTTTCTTTGCTATTCTTTTACCTTTCTTAGTCAGAGCGATGTAGTGGGAGCTGCAAGCTTCACGTGCTCAACTTTGGCAGAGAACTTTGGCAAAGTTATCTGTGGTACCCATGAGCTATTGTTGCGTATGGGAAGTGGGTGATTGAACAGTAAGATTCATGTGCTTTCTACTTCACCAGAAGTCTTCGACAGAATGCCCATAATTTCTGCAAAGCTGAGTGTGCGTGTGACAGGTGCTGACAAGGCTAGAAAAGTAGGTGGCTCTTCGATTTCTGAGATCGGCCCTCGTGGTCTCTGAGCAGCCCAGCTTTTGAGAAAGCGAGCGCCTCTTCGATTGATTCGGAGAACGATGCCTCATCGATTTTTGAGAAAGCAATCATGCTGGGGGTGGGGTGGCTGGCTCTCGAAGATTCGGGGAGTAGTGTCTCTTCGATTTTTGAGAAAGTAATCATGTTGGGAGTCTGGCTCTCGAGATTCGGAGGGCAGTACCTCTTCGATTTTGGAGCAAGCAATCTTGTTGGGAGTGTTTTCTCGAATGTGAGTAAAGGTTGGGCATGTTTGCTAATCTACCTTGCAACGAAGCACAGAGGTTGACACACAGGGACTTTCCAATTATCCAGCAATGGTACTGTTCCTTTACCCTCTCTTCGATTTTTAAGAAAGTAGTCATGTTGGGAGTCTGGCTCTCGAGATTCGGAGGACGGTGCCTCTTCGATTTTGGAGCAAGCAATCTTATTGGGAGTGTTTTCTCGAATGTGAGTAAAGGTTGGGCATGTTTGCTAGTCTACCTTGCCACGAAGCACAGAGGTTGACACACAGGGACTTTCCAATTATCCAGCAGTTGTACTGTTCCTTTACCCTTGTGGGTAATAATATGGTAGCTAGACCTTCAAAATTTATGGGTCTAAACTTTGTTAGTGCTGTTTCTTTGCTATTCTTTTACCCTTCTTGGTCAGAGCGATGTAATGGGAGCTGCAAGCTTCACGTGCTCAACTTTGGCAGAGAACTTTGGCAAAATTATCTGTGGTACCCATGAGCTATTGTTGCGTGTGGGAAGTGGGTGATTGAACAGTAAGATTCATGTGTTTTCTACTTCCCCAGAAGTCTTCGACAGAATGCCCATAATTTCCGCAAAGCTGAGTGTGCGTGTGACAGGTGCTGACAAGGCTGGAAAAGTAGGTGCCTCTTCGATTTCTGAGATCGGCCCTCGTGGTCTCTCTGGGGAGCCCAGCTTTTGAGAAAGCGAGCGCCTCTTCGATTTCTGAGATCGGCCTTCGTGGTCTTTGAGCAGCCCAACTTTTGAGAAAGCAAACGCCTCTTCGATTTCTGAGATCAACCCTCGTGAATCTCTAAGCAGCCCAGCTTTTGAGAAAGCAAACGCCTCTTCGATTTCTGAGCAGGCGCCTCTTCGATTTTTGAAGCTCCGTCGAGTGCAGATTTTTATAGGGGCTGGCATTAAGTTCCAAAGCACACTTGAATCTCCACCAGTAGAAGCTTCATTCTTGCACTTCTAAGATCTTGATTTGTCCGACCTCTTCTCTCTTCAACACCTTTGAAAATGTCTGGCCCCTCCGACCGTCGTTTTGACTTGAACCTTGTTGAAGAGGCAGCCCCGCCTTCTCCAGACAACATATGGCGCCCATCCTTCGTCTCCCCTACTGGTCCTCTTACCGTTGGGGATTCCGTGATGAAGAATGATATGACCGCTGCGGTGGTGGCCAGGAACCTTCTCACTCCCAAAGATAACAGACTACTTTCCAAACGGTCTGATGAGTTAGCTGTTAAGGATTCGCTGGCTCTCAGTGTTCAGTGTGCAGGTTCTGTGTCTAATATGGCCCAACGCCTATTTGCTCGAACCCGCCAAGTTGAATCATTGGCGGCTGAAGTGATGAGTCTCAAACAGGAGATTAGAGGGCTCAAGCATGAGAATAAACAGTTGCACCGGCTCGCACATGACTATGCTACAAACATGAAGAGGAAGCTTGACCAAATGAAGGAAACTGATGGTCAGGTTTTACTTGATCATCAGAGATTTGTGGGTTTGTTCCAAAGGCATTTATTGCCTTCGTCTTCTGGGGCTGTACCGCGTAATGAAGCTCCGAATGATCAACCTCTGATGCCTCCTCCTTCTAGGGTTCTGTCCAGTACTGAGGCTCCAAATGATCCCCCTCCGGTGCCTTCTCTTTCTGGGGCTCTACCGACTGCTGAGACTTCTCCTAAGCAACCTTTGTGAAGGCTCCCTCTTGTGTGTTTATTTTGACTCATGTATATGTACATATTTGTAGCTTATCGGGGATATCAATAAATAAGCTTTCCTTCATTTCAACGTATTGTGTTAAATACACCAAAGCCTTCTTCGCTAAGTTCTTTGAATTTTCTTTTTGTTGAAGCTTGTATGTTGAAGCTTTCTGAGTGGAGCATGTAGGTTGGGGTAGTGTTCCCTTAATTTCCCGAGTGAGGAAAACTTCTCGGTTGGAGACTTGGAAAATCCAAGTCACTGAGTGGGATCGGCTATATATGAATCTTAGAACGCCATTGTGCTCGATCCTGTGTCATGTCCTTCGTTAGATCCAAGTACTCTAAGTCTTTTCTTAGAGTCTCTTCCAAAGTTTTCCTAGGTCTTCCTCTACCCCTTCGGCCCTGAACCTCTGTCCCATAGTCGCATCTTCTAATCGGAGCGTCAGTAGGCCTTCTTTGCACATGTCCAAACCACCGTAACCGATTTTCTCTCATCTTTCCTTCAATTTCGGCTACTCCTACTTTACCCCGGATATCCTCATTCCTAATCTTATCCTTTCTCGTGTGCCCACACATCCAACGAAGCATCCTCATCTCCGCTACACCCATTTTGTGTACGTGTTGATGTTTTCACCGCCCAACATTCTGTGCCATACAGCATCGCCGGCCTTATTGCCGTCCTATAAAATTTTCCCTTGAGCTTCAGTGGCATACGGCGGTCACACAACACGCCGGATGCACTCTTCCACTTCATCCATCCAGCTTGTATTCTATGGTTGAGATCTCCATCTAATTCTCCGTTCTTTTGCAAGATAGATCCTAGGTAACGAAAACGGTCGCTCTTTGGTATTTCTTGATCTCCGATCCTCACCCCTAACTCGTTTTGGCCTCCATTTGCACTGAACTTGCACTCCATATATTCTGTCTTTGATCGGCTTAGGCGAAGACCTTTATTCCAACACTTCTCTCCAAAGGTTAAGCTTTGCATTTACCCCTTCCTGAGTTTCATCTATCAACACTATATCGTCTGCGAAAAGCATACACCAAGGAATATCATCTTGAATAAAAAATAAAAAATAATGGCGAAAGATGAATTGATGTTCGATATATGACTTATTCAACGCATCTTGATATTGCATTCATTTGTACTTCTTTCATTCACCCATAGAATTAGTTTACGGTTTTTCATACGGCTATGTAACTGTGGCTTTCAGTATGGGTTGCCGGGATTCAAGAATTGATATGGGTTTTGAGTGAGGGGATAGGGATACAGGGTGGAGGGAGAGGCGGGATTTGGGTTTTCTGGGTATTGGATTTAAAGACGTGCCAGGGGTGTAAGACTGAAGAGGAAGGAGCTGAGAGAATGAGTGTTGAAAATGGTAAAAATTTGTCATTGGCCTCTGAGAGCGCGGCGAGAGTTGAGGGATAGTCAAATTCTAGGGCATGAGCAGAAGAGCGGGAATAGGGGGACTGTGTGTTTCATAAGATATCAGCAGTTATCTGCAAATCACGTCCCGGGGGGATTTGAAAATGGAATACACATTAGGATATATAACCTCTGATGTTATATCATGTATAAATAGCATCGGCAGTACGAAGCGGCGATATCATTTGACATATAAGACTGTCATTTAATTTTTCGATGCCTATTTGCTTTTCTGATGCCTATGCAGTGTTGTCATAGACCAAATTTCTAGTAATGTCTTCTCTGCCCAGAAGGAAAAAAATATAGTGGAAGACGAATTAATATTTGATGTGTCTTAGTGAGAAGAATTCATCATATTATTGCAGTCATTTGTTCTTTCATTCTTTCATTCTCCCATAGAATGATTGTCTAAATATAAATTAAGTTATTTTAGTTGTGTTATTTTAGTATTTTAATTTTTAATATACTTTAGTTGTATAGACAATAATGTATGACACAACTTTCAAAGTATGAAAATATGTCGAAGATAGGACTTGTGATTTTGACTTCAACCTTCAAATGAATACTGTTAATAAAGATTTATATTTTGGCGTTCAGTGTCCTGAGATGAGTTCTTTGTTTTACCTTGTTTTCATAAGTTTCCATGGGTGATTTGGTAAAGATATGAATATGCTCTATTTGTGAGTTTATTTTCATCTCAAATCCCAACATTTATGAAAATTGCCAGATTGGATATTGTTTTCCATTGTTCTTTAAATCATTGGCTTCCGTATATCACTGTGATTTCTATGACTAGGATTTGTTTGGTAATTGTTTAAGGACTCTGCCAAAGAAAAAGACTAGCGAAAGTAATGGCCGCCAAGATATGCATAGCCATTCGATCATTTGGTCGCCCATTAACGGAGAACATCAACTGGGGGCTTCCACCTTACACACGGAAGATTGCATTGCCTGAATCACGAGTCTTATACACTGTGTTACGATCACCTCATGTTGATAAAAAGTCCAGAGAACAGTTTGAAATGAATGTCAAGAAACAGTTCCTGGTCATAAACACAGAAACACATGAATTGCAGAAGAAGTTCTTCTGGTTAAAACGCCAGCGGATATTTGGAGCCCAATATGAACTCCAGTTTTCTTGCAAGACCCGTTTGGATAAGGAAAAACTCCAGAAGTTGCTTTGAAGTAAGAGCCTGGCATTGACCCTTTGCTGAACCTGAACTTCCATGGCGTTGTTGGATGGTTCTGTTTTTAATTCAATAGGAAGACAAGATGAGAAAAAGAGGAGCACTTCAAATGTTGATGAAGATAGGCATTGAGGTTGATCTCTAGTAAGTTCTGCAAGTTTGTAATCTGTTTTTAGAAGATACGACGATTCAAAATCGCTTTTTATTGCAGTAGTATTTGTTTACTTATGATTGGAGGTCGATGCAATTATGATTCAGCGCTTGAGCTTGGGTTAGATGTGTCACAGAACATTTGCTATCTACAAACAATTGCATTCTCTCTAAATAGCCTCTTCGCGCTCGTGGTAATGCGAGTGGATAGGATTTTTATGTTGGCGTATTTTGATTGCGTGAATGTTTCTTATCAAACTGCTCATAACTTGCTGCTGAAGAAGTGTTGGCACCTGATTCACACTACTGTCTGGGAGAGGTGCCCATATTTAAATGGAAAATCTGGGAAAAAAGATTGTAGGCTTCCATAGCTTAATTAAATAGAGTGTGTTGATATACCTCATTATATTCGAAGAATAATTTCGTCCATATAATAATCAAATTTGCGGTAGAGTATTTCCTAATCAAATTTAAGGTTACGCACCTCCTAATCGAATTTAAGGTCGTCATTAAACCACGTGCTGGTGGTCCAGTGGTAAATGGTGAATTGCGAGGTTTTTTTCAAACTAAAAACTGGAGGTCTCGAGTTCGAAATCCGTTGCTGGTGTGGAAGCCAGACTTGTGTCCAGGAAGAGATTGAAATGTCTCTGTGAGTCTTTCCGACCTTTAGAAGGAGACAGTCGTTGTCCCCCTTTGAAAAAAAAAAAAAAATTATCGTCACTAAACTTTTATATATAGTCGATTGCCTTTTTACAGTTATGGTGAGTCACGTGGTGGATTTGGGGAGTGGACTTGTGGCAATAACTACTCTCCACCTATTGTAAATAGTAACTGTCTTCATGGTAAACTATCTTGGCTTCTCTGCCACTCTTCACGAATTGTGAATAGTAATTGCCCTATAATTCAATTATTTATTAATTATTGAACTGGGTAGATTAAGTTAGAATAGGTTTCTATGCTTATGCACTCTTCACCCATTGTTAATAGTACTTGTCATGCATGTGAGCTTGGGGCTAGAATTGCCATGGATGCTGCCAAGGCTCAACAAACCATGGCTCGGAGAAGATGGATGGAGGGGGTTTAGGAGTGAATTTAAGGGTTTAGCCATGGCAAAGTTCCATGGGTGAAAATTGCTTAAGATGGAAAATGTCATTTTGCAGCATTAGCCGATGTATTTTAGTGAAGAGCGAAAAATCGTTTTACCTTTTTTAGTGATTCACCGGTTGTTCACCCGACATAAATATAATGGAGAACTTGAAATCTAACGGTGAGGAACAAAGTAGCTATTCATAAAAAGTTTAGAACTTCACTATAGTATGTACATAATACATTCACCAACCAACTTTCAAATATGCAACCAAATAGAAAGAATATATATCCAAATTTCTTGCATAAATCGGCGAAAACCTTTTTCTATACAATGGGAAAAAAGAAAGAATAGAAGAGTACCCATAGCTGAAGAGGAGTTTGTCCCAATAAAACCCAAAGAGGAGAAAAGCCCTAAACTTTCTCTGGTTAGACCATGTGCAATGTTGTGAGTTAAAACATAAATATTTAGCATAGAAAATTTAGGTTCCAACCCAAAAATAGGTTTTTTGCTTCAATGATTTTGGCTTATAATTTTAGACCGTGATTAATAAATAATAATTTTAACCTAATTTGTTTTTTTACAACTTTTAAAAAAATAGAATTTATGTAGATTATCCAAATTTATTTTTATGAATATTTTTAACCAAAAAATATTTAATTTCCAATAAATAATGAAAAATCACTAAACCTACTCCATGCAACATGAAAGCCATGCAACAAAAATTACTGTTTTTATTTTATTTTATAAATATAGAGATATAAAATTTGAAACTTGAGATAGTTATACTAAACAAAAATAAATAAAAGATGACTAAAATACTAATAGACATTAAATGGATTATCATGCTCAAAGATATGTACCCAAAGTTTATTGGAAGAAGCTTTGGGGGGGGGGGGGGAGATTGTTTAAAAACTCAAAAGATTTGAGATTATCATGCTCAAAGATATGTACTCAAAGTTTATAGCCCAATGATTGGAATAAGCTGAAACCTCTCCAGCACTCACTCCTCGACCCTCAGGTACCTTCTAATCTCTACAATTTGCCATTGTTTTTGTTTAATCTACTTTATATTTTCCTTATGTTGAATGTCAAAATACAACCACAAACTAAGCATAAATGATCCAAGCCAGTTTGCAAGGTAAAGACAAAAAGTAAATCGAAACAAAGAATAAGTAAAAGTCGAAGGTAAAAGCTTGTAAATACTTGTAAAGTGTTGGCCAAAATGACAATAAATAACTTAAAAGTAAATGATAAATACAGGCAATCATGCAAAGTTTAAACCTATTCAGGTAAGTTTAGATGTTATTCAGGCATGTTCTTATGACTAGTACAAGGTGTGTTTTGAGAAGAAAACTTTATTGCAGGATATCAATACTACAAAGGAGGTAGTAGAGCTATAAATACGAAGAAATATTTGAACTACAAAACAAATGTATGAAAAGTAGGTTGCAGAGTTTTAGAAGTCTTTTTGTATGTTGTGTTAGTGTCATTTCTTCTATCTCTCTGCTACCCCTTTATAAAAACTGCCTCTTTCTTCCAAAGTAAGTTCTCAATTCTGCACAAGTAGTTGATGAGTTTTTGTTAGATGATGAGTTTCTCACCTGGATACTTGAGCTTGATCCTCTTATATCCACATTTTTGCCACTGAAAAGTGCTTTTCTCAGTAAAACCTTACTGCATATCTCCTTTTACATTGTGAACAAGGGTGATCTTGCCGCCCAATCAGGCCACGTCAAAAGCACTTTTAAATTTGGGATGCCTACTATTCATCTGTGTTAAAATTAAATACCCACTAAACAAACCCAGTGAATTTAAAATAATTGGGCTTCGAACTGGCCCAATGCCCAACTTCAACCCAAACAATAGGTATTGTTCTTGACATAATGACCTTGTTTCGCTTAAATTTCTAAATGGGCTTTTAATATGTTTAGATTAAATTTTAAAAGTTTCAAGAAACTGATAGAAACTTAAGACTTCCAATGAAATAAAATGTGATAAACTTTACAGGGCATGCAAGTCCACCACCAGCATCAACAAAAAACCTAAGTGATTATAGAAGTGAAAACTCTCGTATATTAATTGTAGTCATATGATCGATGTAAGATTCTGTTCTCCAACAAAAAGTTAGTATTGTGATGTTGATAGTCCAAAAACTCTAGCAGCATGGCTTGCTTTTAATCTCACAATCACATTAGTTTGGGTACTCATAATTTGATGAAAGTTTTGATATGTAGTTCTATGTGTCTGCGTACTACGTCTATGAAATATCAAAGTAATTGAAAATAAACTTAGTTTGGAACAAATGTAATAGTGATATATATGCCAAAATTCAGTTTGGCAGATTTGGCTATTAGTTTTCTTGAAATGATTTCCAACACTTTTCTATATCAATAGCATTCATTACCCACATGAAACGGGGCTTAAAACGTTTCTTATCAACAAAAAAATCAAATTAATTTGTATGCTAATTAATCAAAATTTCCATGAATACGAATATGAATCATATATCATCTATTAAATAAATGAATATGAATCAGATATTATCTATTAAAGCGCTACTTATGCAATGTATCTTGAAATAACTATCCACAATTACTTCTTATTACCTAATTTCATTCTCCATTGGAGAAACAAAATCTGAAAAATAATTGACCAAATTCATCCTTTGATTGCTTCATTTCTTGAACAATACTGAGCTACTCAAATATGAGCAGGAACTTCAACTCAAATTTCTCAAAATTGTTCGTTGTCAATTTATAGAAATTTGTGTTTATAATCATAACTGTTCATATTATAAATCACAATATAAATATCGCATCTACAATAAATCAATTAAAACAAAGGCCGTTCAATCATCAAACTATTTAAAAACAAATGAACAGTATTGGTAAAAATATTATGAACCGTCTATATATTTGCTATAATATATTGACTAAACGACTTTAGTTTTAATTTAAGTTTTGCAGAGATGATCTTTACAATGTGATTCATAGTATGAATGGTTTTGATCATAAACATAAAGCTCTGCGATTAAAATACTAAGAATTTTGAGTAGGAGTTCCTACTCGTCTATTATTCTTCTTTTTTTGTCCGTGCCCAACCACTGCCATATATAAATCATGCACAAACATGTCTCTCCCACTCCCACGAGGACTAGAGTCGAACAACTAAAATAACATTAGAATTTTAGGGAACTCCAATACAAATCAAAGTCGCGATGCGTTCTGTCAGCTGCCTGCTCGCACTTGTTGCGCTGGCCATCCTTCCCTTCACCGTCGCCCTGGCTGACGCTGACATAACCCCACAAGAGTTTGATGGGGGCTGGAGAACCGTAAACACCACCGACCCAGAGATTATAAAACTTGCACAGTTCTCAGTCTCAGAGCATAACAAGGAAGCGAAAACGAAGTTGGTGTTTGAGCGCGTGGTTTCGGGCAGATCCGCATTGCTTTTAGGAGGTACATACTATGAACTTATAGTTAAGGCCAAGGATGAATCGCTGCCTAAGGCCTCTGCTGCAAGTTATAAGGGTATCTTATTTTACAAATACAATCCTTGGAAGATGATTTTACAAGTGAAAACTTTTCGGAAAATAAAGGACTAAAGACTGCTGCATGCCATGATATGATTCTCGAGTGGAGGAATATGTGAATTGCCTTGATATATAAAAGAACTGAGAATAAAGCTGCTACATTTTTTATTCTTCGAATGCTTCGGAGTACACTTTTAATATTCAGGGATGACAATTTAATTAGCCCGGTAAGCCAGATTGGCTCTTCCTCAATCCTCGTCAAAGTGAGTGCATGCACATGCAGGCTTCAACCTTCTTTAAGAAGAGAGAAGAACATGTGATTGCCTACAAGAGTGGGTCGTCAAAAACACAAATAGATTTTCTTCTAATGAGGAAAATGGATCGTATAACTTGTAAGGATTGCAAAGTTATACTGGGAGAGAGCTTGACTAATCAACATCGCTTGTTGGTGATGGATGTACATATCAAAGGAGTGAGAAAAAAGAACAAGACTTGGAAGTGCCCAAGGACTAGATGGTGGAATCTAAAAGGAGAAAAACAAGTCATTTTCAAAGAGAAAGTAATCACCGAGTGTGGGTGGGATAGAGAGGGGGAAGCTAACCAAAGGTGGGATTTCATGGCTAGTTGTATCCGAAAAGTAGCAAAAGGGGTATTAGGAGAGTCCAAGGGCTTTGCTCCACACCAAAAGGAATCTTAGTGGTGGAATGAGGAGGTACAAACAAAGGTGAAGGCTAAGAAGAAATGTTGTAAAGCCTTATACAAGGACATGACCGATGAAAATGATGAAAGGTATAGAAGAGCGAAGCAAGAGGCAAAGAAAGCTGTGAGAGAAGCTAAGTTAGCGGCTTATGACGACATGTATAAGCAACTAGATACCAAAGAAGGAGAGTTGGATATCTATAAACTAGCTAGAGCAAGGGAAAAGAAGACAAGGGACCTAAACCAAGTGAGGTGCATCAAGGATGAGGATGGAAAGGTTCTTGCTATAGAGATTGCGGTTAAAGACAGATGGAGAGGTTATTTTCATAATCTTTTCAATGAAGGACATGAAAGGAGTACTTCTTTAGGGGAGTTGAGTAACTCAGAAAAGTGTAGAAACTACTCCTTTTATCGTTGAATCAGGAAGGAAGAAGTGGTTGTAGCTTTGAAGAAGATGAAGCATAGAAAAGCAGTGGGCCCAGACGATATACCGATCGAAGTGTGGAAAGTCTTGGAAGAGACAGGTATAACATGGCTCACTGACCTTTTCAATAGGATTTTGAAAACGAAGAAGATGCCAAATGAGTGGCGAAAGAGCACTTTGGTGCCTATCTACAAGAATAAGGGCGACGTACAAAATTGCATGAACTATAGGGGTATTAAGCTAATGAGTCATACAATGAAGCTCTAGGAGAGAGTCATTGAGCATAGATTGAGGCAAGAGACACGGGTTTCGGACAACCAATTCGGGTTCATGGCAGGGCGCTCAACCATGGAGGCAATCTATCTCTTACAAAGATTGATGGAAAGATATAGAGATGGGAAAAAGGATTTACACATGGTCTTTATAGATTTGGAAAAAGCGTATGATAGAGTTCCAGAATGGAGGATTTTAGAGAAGAAATGAGTACGAGTAGCATATATCCAAGCTATAAAGGATATGTATGAAGAAGCAAAGACTGCCATAAGAACTCATGAAGAATAAACGAAAGCTTCCCCATAACTGTAGGATTATATCAAGGCTCATCCTTAAGTCCTTACCTTTTTGGGTTGGTGATGGATGAGTTAACATGACATATTCAAGATGATATTCCTTGGTGTATGCTTTTCCCAGACGATATAGTGTTGATAGATGAAACTCAGGAAGGGGTAAATGCGAAGCTTAACCTTTGGAAAGAAGTGTTAGAATCTAAAAGTCTTCGCCTAAGCCGATCAAAGACAGAATATATGGAGTGCAAGTTCAGTGCAAATGGATGCCAAAATGAGTTAGGGGTGAGGATCGGAGATCAGGAAATACCAAAGAGCGATTATTTTCGCTACTTAGGATCTATCTTGCAAAAGAACGGAGAATTAGATGGAGATCTCAACCATAGAATACAAGTTGGATGGATGAAGTGGAAGAGTGCATCCGGCGTGTTGTGTGATCGCCGTATGCCACTGAAGCTCAAGGGAAAATTTTATAGGACGGCAATAAGGTCGGCGATGCTGTATGGCATAAAATGTTGGGCGATGAAGCATCAACACGTACACAAAATGGGTGTAGCGGAGATGATGATGCTTCGTTGGATGTGTGGGCACACAAGAAAGGATAAGATTAGGAATGAGGATATCCGAGGTAAAGTAGGAGTAGCCGAAATTGTAGGAAAATTGAGAGAAAATCGGTTACGGTGGTTTGGACATGTGCAAAGAAGGCCTATTGACGCTCTAGTTAGAAGATGCGACTACGGGACAGAGGTTCAGGACCGAAGGGTTAGAGGAAGACATAGAAAAACTTTAGAAAAGACTCTAAGAAAAGACTTAGAGTATTTGGATCTAACGGAGGACATGACATAGGACCGAGCACAATGGCGTTCTAAGATTCATATAGCCGACCCCACTCAGTGAAGAAGGCTTTGGTATATTTAACACAATACGTTGAAATGAAGCAAAGCTTATTTGTTGATATCTCCGATAAGTTACAAATATGTACATATACATGAGTCAAAATAAACAAACAAGAGGGAGCCTTCACAAAGGTTGCTTAGGAGAAGTCTCAGCAGTCGGTAGAGCCCCAGAAAAAGAAGGCACCGGAGGGGGATCATTCGGAGCCTCAATACTAGACATAACCCTAGAAGGAGGAGGCATCAGAGGTTGATCATTTGGAGCTTCATTACGCGGTACAGCCCCAGAAAACGAAGTCAATAAATGCCTTTGGAACAAACCCACAAACCGTTGATGATCAAGTAAAACCTAACCATCAGATTCCTTCATCTGGTCAAGCTTCCTCTTCATGTTTGTAGCATAGTCATGTGCGAGCCGGTGTAATTGTTTATTCTCATGCTTGAGCCCTCTAATCTCCTATTTGAGACTCATCACGTCAGCCGCCAATGATTCAACTTGGCGGGTTTGAGCAAATAGGCGTTGGGCCATATTAGACACAGAACCTGCATACTGAACACTTAGATCCAGAGAATCCTTAACAGCCAACTCAGCAGACCGTTTGGAAAGTAATTTGTTATCTTTGGGAGTGAGAATGTTCCTGGCCACCACCGCAGCAGTCATATCATTCTTTATTACGGAATCCCCAATGGTAAGAGAACCAGTAAGGGATAAGAAGGATGGGCGCCATATGTTGTCTGGAGAAGGCGTGGCTGCCTCTTCAACAAGGTTCAAGTCAAAACGACGGTCGGAGGGGCCAGACATTTTCAAAGGTGTTGAAGAGAGAAGATGTCAGACAAATCAAGATCTTAGAAGTGCAAGAATGGAGCTTCTACTGGTGAAGATTCAAGTGTGCTTTAGAACTTAATGCCAGCCTCTATAAAAATCTGCACTCGACGGAGCTTCGGAAATTGAAGAGGCGCCTATCCGGAAATCGAAGAGGCGCCTATCCGGAAATCGAAGAGGCGCCTATCCGGAAATCGAAGAGGCGTTTGCTTTCTCAAAAGTTGGGCTGCTCAGAGACCACGAGGGCCGATCTCAGAAATTAAAGAGGCGTTTGCTTTCTCAAAAGCTGGGCTGCTCAAAGACCACGAAGGTCGATCTCAGAAATCGAAGAGGCGCTTGCTTTCTCAAAAGCTGGGCTGCTAAGAGACTACGAGGGTCGATCTCAGAAATCGAAGAGGCACCTGTTTTTTTCAGCCTTGTCAGCACCTATCACATGCACACTCAGCTTTGCTGAAATTACGAGCATTCTGTTGAAGATTTCTAGTGAAGTAGAAAGCACGTGAATCTTACTGTTCAATCATCCATTTTCCACACGCATTATCAGCTTATGGGTACCACATATAACTTTGCCAAAGATCTCTGACAAAGTTTAGACACGTAAAGCTTGCAGCTCCCACTACATCGCTATGACCAAGAAGGGTAAAAGAATAGCAAAGAAACAGCACTAACAAAGTTTAGACACATAAATTTTGAAGGTCTAGCTACCATATTATTACCCACAAGGGTAAAGGAACAGCACCACAGTTGGATAATTGGAAAGTCCCTGTGTGTCAACCTTCTCCGTGGCAAGGTAGACTAGCAAACATGCCCAACCTTTACTCACATTCGAGAAAACACTCCCAACAAGATTGCTTGCTCCAAAATCGAAGAGGCACCGTCATTCGAATCTCCAGAGCCAGACTCCCAACATGATTACTTTCTCAAAAATCGAAGAGACACCGCTCTCCGAATCTCGAGAGCCAAACTCACAGTAGGATTGCTCTCTCAAAAATTAAAGAGGCACCATTCTCCGAATCTCGAGAGCCAGATCCCCGACAGGATTACTTGTACGAAAACCGAAAAGGCACCGCTTTCTCAACTTTGAGAGCCAGATCTCATTGGATAAAGATTGTCTATAATCTTCACACGCAACATCAGCTTTCCAGATACCACAGACCACTTTTTCAAAGTGCTCTGACACACGTGAAACTGGCAGCTCCCACTACCGTGCTATGACCAAGCAGGGTAAAGGAATATCATTACTACTTGTTGTTAGGGAAACTCCTATATATGTCGACCTCCATCCTCAACAGACAGGCAGACCTGCAAAAATGCTCAACCCTTCCTCATATCTGAGAGGGCACTCCCAACGAAGCCTTTCGAAATACTCAGCTTTTTTTCCCCCCGATAATACCTCTGCAAACAAGCTACACCAGAGTAAGAATATCTCATATCATCAGGGTTAAAAGCAAGAGTATCCCATATCATGTTTTTCCCCTGTCTTTTCCTTTAGCCTTGTTCTTACCTGCAAGACAAGAAGAAAAAGAGCAATCAGTCAGCACTTGGAATCAAGTTTCCAGTCAGAAACTGACTGCCTGGAACCCCTTACCTGATTACTTACCTGGCATTGCTCTCGAGTACTTATCTTCAACATCTTATGCTTCCGGAGAAAATACCACATCTGCCTGAGG